ACACAGCCTCTCGACAATATGCGTTTTTGCTGGCTGTAGCGCTGCACAGCAAAAACGCATAAAAACACATATTGGGAAGAGGCTATGTGTGTGTGCGTGTGAGTGTGACTGTGTGTTCGCACTTTTTGTCACCCACTTCCAACTCGAGAACCAGAAAGCTAGAAGGCTGAGACTTTGGGATTATGTGCCCATACCATGCTCGACCCTCCAGTTTTAATATCATCCCCCGTGGACGCCTAGGTGCCGTGCAGAGGCGCTTTAAAGAAATAGACAAATTTTTTGGTGAGAAAACAATCTCGGGAACCAGAAAAGGTAAGGGACTGAAACTTTGTAGGGATATTCCCTATGCATGTATTAGCTAAATTCGAATTCAGCCCCCAGGTATGCATGTTACTCAAGTAAGGGCATATGGAAGGCTGAAATTTTGGGGGGAACGCTTCCAGTCCAAGTACAACTTAAATATTTCAAATTCAGCTTTCAGTTGTGTGTGGTTCCCATGTACAGGCACGTGAAAGATTTGGCGGGAGAACTGTTAACTTGGTAACCAGAAAGGCTGAAATTTTGGGAAATAGTCACTTTCCAGATACAACTAAGTTATTTCAAATTCAGCCCCTGGTTATGTGCGGTACTCACGTATGCGTGCATGAGAGTTTCTGCAGAAAAATTATTAACTCGAAAACCAGAAAAGCTAGAAAACTGAAATTTTAGAGTAATGTTCCTTGTCCAAGTACAACTTAAGTATTTCAAACTCAGCCTTGAGATATGCGTGGTTCTTGCACATGGGCACTTAAAGTTTTGGCGCAAAAATATCTCACTGAACAACTAGGTTACTTTTAAAGAACGACCGCTAAGTGGAAATTGCACATTTACTATATACTAAATTTATGGTGATTTATGCTAGTGACCGCAAAAGGTAGGTGTAGAGCAACAACCATCATGCAGTTAATGACCTGGGTACTTCAAGTCCAGTGCAAAAACGTATGATCGCATGGACCAGCCCGGTGCGTTCCAGCTTGGGTTAACATTTTACAAACGGAGTTTTGATATGTCCATCCGATGCAATTTATGCATTCAAATGGCTGCATAGCAAATCCACTTTGAAGTGCAACATTCTGCCCAATTTGGTTTCTGAGAAAAGGGGATGCCAAGAAGTTTGCAACATGAAAGGTTAACGCGTTCAAGTACAAGCATACAAAAAAAAAGCTAATTTTGTGCTTTTGTGGGCCTGCATATGAGCAAAAAACATTTATTCTCTTAACGATTTCAGCACCCTGGTTTAACTCGAAAAAAAAAAAAATTGTTTTTCCTTAATTTTAGCTTACCAGTTTCTCTGGCTACTCAGTTTAGAGTAATTCACAATGCCTATTCTATATAAATGCGGAAATATACTTTTATTCTTTATGTTGGCAAAGAAAAAATAATCGTACCGCTTGTAGAAGAACAAAGATATATGTAGAGATGAGAAAAACACGAATCCACTTCAAGCTACTTATTGGCGTTGTTCTAGTAAGAGCTCGATGCTGAGCGCCAAATATAACAGCCAAATTAATTAACGTTAGAAGTGATAAACAAATATTTAGCCAGAACAGGAAATAAGCGATATGGCTGCCAAATGGAACACCAATATATTTCACTGGTCCAAGTGCTTCCGCAACGAAACCCGATACCGATATATCCCTGCAACAAAAAATTGTAACAGCTTGATTATGCGGTAACTTGTTCTTAGTAAATATCAGGTTTTTAGCACCAAGGGGCCGCCAGTGCTATTAGTGTGGGTATCTCATCATAATGATGTTTTTAGGATGCTCCTATATGTCAGACATAGCTGGCTACCTAGGCCCTTCCATCCTTGTTGGCTGCATATATTCACTTAGTATTCACTATCTATCCAGAAACGAACACCACTTTTACGGAAGTTGCCCGAATAGTCGTTTGCTTTTTCATAGATATCGTTCACTAATATGCGACCTCTACTTGTTGTAAGGCAAGCAGCGTGTTCTGCCCATCGGATGATACTCTCTCTTGCGGTTTCAACGACATTCTGCATTTCGCTCATCTGACGAATAGCCCTATTGCATACGTGATGGCGAACATGTACGTCAGATTTTTGCTTGACGGCTCTAACCTCACAGCCAGTGCTTCTTTTCAGTTTTTTTGAGTGACTACGTTTCGCATTTGTGCATAATTGCCTTCAGCACAAAAATATTGAAGAGGTGGGCGCAGCCCTTCCTGTTCGTTACTCTTCGAGGACACCAGCGATGCTCTGAGGACATTCCGTGCTTCAGCGCTACCTTTACGGTACGATACAACAACAGTTCCATTTCGACACTTCTTCAGGCTTTTTTTGAACTTAGTCTGCCATCCGTCAATTTTAGTTTTCGAAACTCTTAAATTTCATAAAATTTAAACTAAAAATTCAAGTTCCTCCGCGAAAGTTTCTACAGATCTTTCCTCCTTCCATTATTTTTAAGTGGTTTATCAAAGCCTTATCTGTGGGCACGGTACATTAGTAAGTTGCACTTTCATAATGAACATTAGACCATGGAACATTAGACCCTATACGTTTTGTTAGCGAACTAGTAATTGGTGCACGTCACACAATCAGGGCAGTTATCAGCTTGCTATTAAGGAGCACTTTAAAAAGGGAGCCCTTTGCAGTTTTGTCAGATTTGCACTCGTTACCAGGTTACTTCCGGTGCCTCCGTTCCTTGAAGAAAGTAAATATGGAGACTGTTTTGACTCGACCTGTGTTGCAGCAGCATAATTGACACTGTGCGGATTATAGTCATAACGGCAATATTTGCTTGTAGAGTTGAAAACTCATTAAATTTCACTGGTGTCCTTGTGAAAATCATATAAATCACCAAAGCATTAAGAACTAAAGATAATGGACCAAAGGTGTAGGAGAGTGTAACAAATGCCGTATGAAAAACATCGTTTGATTCGATAATAATCATTTCTGAAATGGTGTCTTTGCTCATCTTTGTCGGGAATAATGCGTCTAAAGACAGGAACGAACGCTGCTGGAACGAACTGCTTATTTATAAAATTTTAGGATAAAGCACGGCAAGACTCCTAATACGAGCGTTAGTAAAGACACAGACATGCAAGAAGAGAAATCGAACTTTACCGTCAGCATATATTGCAAATTCTTCATTGTATTGAGCTGCCCGCCATACCACCGTAACTCTAGGCTTGAACATCGCTGAATTCCTTGTCACTCAGTGTATCAGACAAAGACTATCGAGGACGGAATTTCTCGAACACTGTCTTTGCAGCAAGTAGGGCCGGTTAAGATACATCATGTGTATGAGGAAACTCCTATGACTGCATTTGTTGGCAACTACTAAAA